TTGACGAGTTGTAATATAACGCTAGGAATGGCAAAGCTCACTGACGATACCGTCGAAACGTCTGGGAATGTACCACATCCACAGTCCGACTTTCGAAATAATTATGCATACAATGGACTCCGGACAAGGTGCGTTCCTCTAGGTCCTTCTACCAATATAACCCAGTTGCGGAAACAAGGTCAAACAAGCTCTATACAATGAAAGGAGACTGCGACCACACAAAAGGCTATACTATCTTGGTCTTCATATCTTCAATGTAACTATATGTTTAATTCTTTGACCTTATTTCGTTAAGATGAGTAAGGACTAGTAGATGAATTTTCAAGTCTGGCCTACCTCTTTATAAAATTTACATCTGCCATGTGGGCCAAGTGTACTCGAGGCAGTGTACAGTAATAGTTAACGTGTCGATATTATACGCTGCGCCATCACGGTTCAAATCTAGCTGGGAGAGCTTGTGACACTTAGGGGAGGTCAAAAATGCTTTCCACTTCAGCTTGGATGAGAATACCGTTGAGCCTACTTAGCGTCCTATTTATTATCGTCTTTCCTGTTAGATGCACCATAAAACTGCCTCAGTTCTCCATCTCCACACCTCTCTTTCCCTTTTACTCTCTTGCTTATTCAATTTCCTCAACATTCTTAGCATACTAATAACTGGTTTTATACGTCTTATGATATCTATACTACTTTAAGGTCACATTCTTGATTAATAGGTGCATCTGGACTGGTCCTATGGCCTATATAATTTGCAAAAGAATTTATTTATTTATTTATTTATTTATTTCTAAAAGATGCCCTTAAGAATGGAGGTTCTCAACTGGCTAGAGGCCTTTTGCGCCTACCACAGTTCGCCCTTACGTCTACACCTCACCTCATCCCGTCGTTGAATCTTCGCGTCAAGCTAAAATCGCCTTCCTCTCCAGAATTAGTACACTGTTTTTCTGTTGATATGTTATTATCTGATTCCTAGCTTAGTAACATGCAAGCCTATGTCCTTTTAAAAGCAGGTCACGGTCTTTTTTGCTGAATCCTTAGTATACATGTATTCAACAATTTTGATAGATTTCAACCAGTCTGCTCGTCACAGAGAGCTTTCTCTCTCCATGTATCTTCATTAAAACAGTTATTATCCGGTTAGCCTTTTTCTTAAGGGGTAATCGGTAAAGGTATCTTGGCATATGACGTTTATTCACCCTAATCCAAACATATTTGGAACATTTTGAAAAATGCCTTGAAATGTACATCTGCCCTGTGACGAAGGAGCGCTCGTGGCAATGTAGCGTAGTTCCTAACGCGCTGAAATTATATGCCGAGCTGTC